CCGCAAAATTTCTTTTGTATGCACGCCAGGAACTTTTTTTTTTATGAGTGAGACAACGGTGTAAGAAGGTCCATAATCATATTTATGTCGACACTTTTGTTAACAACAATATACGCAATAATAATGAAAGAACAAGTATCTTATATTTGCCGATAACAAATTAAAACGTACTTTATTGTTGTTTTTTTCTCACCGACTCTACTGTAGAATTGATGTAACAATGTTTTTTCTTTAAAGTTAAATATTTAGAAAATTATATCCTGATAAAAAGACAAATGCTGTCACACGCCCCTTTCCGGAAGGATACACTATTTATTGTAAATCAAACAAAATTTGGGGAATTGTAAAATCACTTCTTTAAAAAAAAAACGTGGTTATACGAGTGAAAACTATTTACATGGCTCCCTAAAGTTGTCAAACTATGAAGCATGTTATGCCTAATAATAACTGTCGAAATACACGAAGGTGATATGAGGTTAAGGGTTTTGTTTTCCTCCCTTTTTTTTTTTCTCCGAGTGAAACTTAATTTTAAGTTTCTATATTTTATTAAAGAGCAATAGTTAGAACTAGATTCCATGTTCACATTCTACTGTAAGCTAAATATTTCAGGGTTTGTTATAATGTTTTTAAATGAAAGGAAACCCGAGTTTCTCAAATCAGGCACGTTGGAACGTACAAAATATTAAGGGGTGGTTGGTAGTCGTAAATGAATAAAAATTGGCTGATAATCTATAAAAACGCTTTAAAATATTATTCAGTTATGTCATACAAGAACAAGTACTTACTGTGAACACAAAAACTTAAGAAAGAATTATATTGTTTATTGTGTACTACAGAATCTTAAGTCATACAAACAATGCGAATGTTTCACGTAACAACCAGTACACATTAAACAGAAACGTAAAAAGTTACTAGTAGCATAATGTTTAGAATTGGTCACAGAACTGTAGTCTTATTTCACTTGTGGCTGGCGCAATTTAGACAAAACCAAATAAAAAATTGTTGTTAACAAAATGTTGGGGGCGGGGGACAATGGTATTCGGATCCCAATTTAATTATTGGGGGTATATAAATGTTCTTGTTGGTTTAAACGAACGATTGTTTTTGTTTTTTTAATTTGGCGCAAAGCTACACGAGGGCTATCTGCGCTAGCCGTCCCTAATTTAGCAGTGTAAGACTAGAGGGAAGGCAGCTAGTCATCACCACCCACCGCTAACTGTTGGGCTACTCTTTTACCAAAGAATAGTGGGATTGACCATCACTTTATAACGCCCCCACGGCTGAAAGGGCGAGCATGTTTGGTGTGATGGGGATTCGTACCCCCGACCCGCAGATTGCGAGTCGAGCGCCCTAACCAACTGGCCATGCCGGGCCGGAACGAACGAGGTTGCACAACCATTTTGATTGTAAGACAGTTCCTATTATTCACCTGTATTAAATACAATAACAAAACTCTAATATACTGACCAACGGAACATATGGTATCCTCCTCGTCGTACCGGTATTTACAGTTGAAGTGTCCATTACACTTGAGGGATTTATCCACGCACGTTCCATCCCCACAGTCGAATTCTTTGACTTGGTCACACTCTTCTGAAGGGGAAATGAAAAATAATTTTAAATCAATTTATTTTCCAATATATATACACACACACACACACACACACACACACACACACACACTACGTTTATACGTACAGGTACTACTAATACAATAAAACACACAACCAACATAGTGTATGCTATCAGACTACGTTAACTGTTGGTCGTAGGGTACTTA